TCGTCCAAGCAGCGCCTGTGTCCAACACCCAATAGTCTAGGGGGTGCAGCTCTGCTCCAACTTTGGCAGAGGCGTCTCCTTGCTCCCCCTTGTCTCCCACATGGAAGAATTGGCCCGCGGTGCGCTCCTTCTTCTTCTCCGCACCGCCGTTGCCCTTCGGGTTGTTGTCGGACGAATCAGCGACCATGTTGGCACCGTTTTTCTGGTTCCTCCGCGCGCCGCCATCCTGGTGACGATTCTGGGGGGTCCATCCATCGGGTTTCTTATAGCACAAAAACCAGGGGTGCCCTTCCTTCTCACAATACCAGCAACTCCCTTTCATTTTGCCACCAGCACCCGACTTGCCCCCACGTCCAGATTTCGCACCGCGACCCCAACCGGTACCTCCTTGTTGGTCGTTGGAGTCGTCGTCTTTCTTTGCACCGCGTCCAGCACCACCGAAGCCACGTCCTCTGCCACGTCGGCTCCCTTGCATCCCGTAGCCGCTGCTGCCGTCGTCTCCACCCCTCAGTTGGCGGCGACGGAAGTCCTCCTCCAGAATCTTCGTCCGCACCCACTCGAGCGTCCACAAGCTCTGGTTCTGCGGCAGGCTCAATCCGCTCGTAAATTGAAGCCACGATTCTGGCAGCAGCGAGAGCATCTTCAAGCACTTGGTCTGCTCCGGGTAGGTGATTCCCGCGGTCGCCAACTTCGCGTAGAGGTCGCGCATCTTGTCCAGGACTGGTTGCACCGGCTCTCCCTCGCTCAGGCGCAACGCGGACAGCTCCCTCTCCAGCATCAACGTTGCGACAACGGAGGTCGGGGCGTGCAGCTCCTTCAACACGGTCCACGCCTTCGGACCGCATTCAACCTCCGGCAGCAGGTGCATGACGTGGTGACGCTGGTTCAGCTCCAAACTCTGCGACATCAAATAGTAGCCAGCCGAGGAGCGCTCGTCCCAATCTTCCTGCAGCGTGGGGTCACTCGGTCTAGGCTCCTCCCCAATCATTAGTTTCAGCAAACCGATCTGACGGAAATATAATTGCATTTTCCAGGCCCAATCATCATAGCCCTCACCATTGAACTTCTCGACGGTGAAATTCTTCAGCACCTCCTTGACAAGCGAGCCCTGGTTTGTTCGCGCTCCCCGTGGCGCTGAAAGACCAGAATCTTGGCTGCCGCTACGATCTTGGGCTGAAGATTCACCAGCTGCCGCCGAGGTGTTGCCCGCCATAGCTACCTATAACGAGGATCACTATAACGCAGCTCTGATACCAGCTTGTTGGTGTAAGGGCCTAATAAACTCAAGCTATTAGGACTTAATCAAACTTAAAACCTCTCCTCGGGGTCACCTCCAAGGGTCCTTGGGTGCCTGGTACAAGACCAGCCCCTATCCTCGGGTCCGAGTTTGTAGAGAGAGGGATCAAGAAGGACTTAGTCAAAACAGCAAGAGTACCTTGAACGTCGCGCAGCGTGCCGTGCAGACCGTCGGTCGGATTAAGCTGAGAATTCGCTATATCGAAGCTCGCTCCAAGAGCTTTAAAATGAGCCAAGTTGCCTCGCGAAAAGTTCTGCCATTACTAAGTTATGGCTCGGACAGCGTTTGCCTAGCGTTGGAGTGCTAGCATACTAGCGTTGACTCGGGTAGCATTCCGCCGTCGAATAGCGCAGAAACGAAATTCCAGCGAGGAAGGAATTCGCTTGAATCAATTTTACTATATTCAGGTACAAACAGAGAAGGATTAAATAGTTCTAGCTAGCAAGGACCTTGGGAATCAACCTGGGAACAACCAGGGATGATCCCAAATAATTCCAAGCAACAGAACCAACCTGGCTGGACAAAATAGCAGGTGGTAGGTTGGTAAACAACCTCTGGTTCTGTTTTTCCAACCTGGGAAAACAACAACCAGGTTCAGGTTCTAAAAACAGAACCTGTTTTGTCTTTGCCCAACCAGCCAAATGCTGGTTCCGCTGGTTTCCCCTGGCCTTGTAGCATGCAGATACAGACAAACAACATCCAACCTTCACCTAAATTGTACCCCTATAGTGCCTTCCCTGCTACACTATAGTTAACCAAACAAAACAGTACAATTTCGAGTTGGATAGAACTGAATCTGCGCAATCAACTCAACCGAACTGCAAAGCTTCCATCTTGGGTTCCTTTGCGAGCTCGTCCTTTCTGCTTGCACTGTTCATAGCGCATACAATGTTGTGCCAAAGCGCACATTGCGCGAGTACCTGCAAATGCATCAAGCGAAAAATGCGAAAGCAAACAAACACACGAACACACCATTCACACGCAAATGCATTCGCACACGCATACTCGTACAAACAGACGGCAGGATGTCGTGCAATGTGCATTTGCACCCAACACCTTATAAGTGCGTGCCCCATCCGTGTTGGTGTTCACCCCAGCCTTGCCAAGCTTACGGAGGGAGATAAGGTTGGCCTTCAGGTCGGGGACGAAGAGAACGTCGTGCAGCACCACCGGCTTGCCATCCGCTCCCTTAAACGCAGCTCGTCCCGCACTAGCCACCTTCAACATGTGTCCAGAGGCGGAGCACACTTCATTGATCGGTGCAGCTCGTACTTCGTCCAGCAGGTCCTTGCGCGGCGTCATCGTCCAAGCAGCGCCTGTGTCCAACACCCAATAGTCTAGGGGGTGCAGCTCTGCTCCAACTTTGGCAGAGGCGTCTCCTTGCTCCCCCTTGTCTCCCACATGGAAGAATTGGCCCGCGGTGCGCTCCTTCTTCTTCTCCGCACCGCCGTTGCCCTTCGGGTTGTTGTCGGACGAATCAGCGACCATGTTGGCGCCGTTTTTCTGGTTCCTCCGCGCGCCGCCATCCTGGTGACGATTCTGGGGGGTCCATCCATCGGGTTTCTTATAGCACAAAAACCAGGGGTGCCCTTCCTTCTCACAATACCAGCAACTCCCTTTCATTTTGCCACCAGCACCCGACTTGCCCCCACGTCCAGATTTCGCACCGCGACCCCAACCGGTACCTCCTTGTTGGTCGTTGGAGTCGTCGTCTTTCTTTGCACCGCGTCCAGCACCACCGAAGCCACGTCCTCTGCCACGTCGGCTCCCTTGCATCCCGTAGCCGCTGCTGCCGTCGTCTCCACCCCTCAGTTGGCGGCGACGGAAGTCCTCCTCCAGAATCTTCGTCCGCACCCACTCGAGCGTCCACAAGCTCTGGTTCTGCGGCAGGCTCAATCCGCTCGTAAATTGAAGCCACGATTCTGGCAGCAGCGAGAGCATCTTCAAGCACTTGGTCTGCTCCGGGTAGGTGATTCCCGCGGTCGCCAACTTCGCGTAGAGGTCGCGCATCTTGTCCAGGACTGGTTGCACCGGCTCTCCCTCGCTCAGGCGCAACGCGGACAGCTCCCTCTCCAGCATCAACGTTGCGACAACGGAGGTCGGGGCGTGCAGCTCCTTCAACACGGTCCACGCCTTCGGACCGCATTCAACCTCCGGCAGCAGGTGCATAACGTGGTGACGCTGGTTCAGCTCCAAACTCTGCGACATCAAATAGTAGCCAGCCGAGGAGCGCTCGTCCCAATCTTCCTGCAGCGTGGGGTCACTCGGTCTAGGCTCCTCCCCAATCATTAGTTTCAGCAAACCGATCTGACGGAAATATAATTGCATTTTCCAGGCCCAATCATCATAGCCCTCACCATTGAACTTCTCGACGGTGAAATTCTTCAGCACCTCCTTGACAAGCGAGCCCTGGTTTGTTCGCGCTCCCCTTGGCGCTGAAAGACCAGAATCTTGGCTGCCGCTACGATCTTGGGCTGAAGATTCACCAGCTCCCGCCGAGGTGTTGCCCGCCATAGCTACCTATAACGAGGATCACTATAACGCGGCTCTGATACCAGCTTGTTGGTGTAAGGGCCTAATAAACTCAAGCTATTAGGACTTAATCAAACTTAAAACCTCTCCTCGGGGTCACCTCCAAGGGTCCCTGGGTGCCTGGTACAAGACCAGCCCCTATCCTCGGGTCCGAGTTTGTAGAGAGAGGGATCAAGAAGGACTTAGTCAAAACAGCAAGAGTACCTTGAACGTCGCGCAGCGTGCCGTGCAGACCGTCGGTCGGATTAAGCTGAGAATTCGCTATATCGAAGCTCGCTCCAAGAGCTTTAAAATGAGCCAAGTTGCCTCGCGAAAAGTTCTGCCATTACTAAGTTATGGCTCGGACAGCGTTTGCCTAGCGTTGGAGTGCTAGCATACTAGCGTTGACTCGGGTAGCATTCCGCCGTCGAATAGCGCAGAAACGAAATTCCAGCGAGGAAGGAATTCGCTTGAATCAATTTGACTATATTCAGGTACAAACAGAGAAGGATTAAATAGTTCTAGCTAGCAAGGACCTTGGGAATCAACCTGGGAACAACCAGGGATGATCCCAAATAATTCCAAGCAACAGAACCAACCTGGCTGGACAAAATAGCAGGTGGTAGGTTGGTAAACAACCTCTGGTTCTGTTTTTCCAACCTGGGAAAACAACAACCAGGTTCAGGTTCTAAAAACAGAACCTGTTTTGTCTTTGCCCAACCAGCCAAATGCTGGTTCCGCTGGTTTCCCCTGGCCTTGTAGCATGCAGATACAGACAAACAACATCCAACCTTCACCTAAATTGTACCCCTATAGTGCCTTCCCTGCTACACTATAGTTAACCAAACAAAACAGTACAATTTCGAGTTGGATAGAACTGAATCTGCGCAATCAACTCAACCGAACTGCAAAGCTTCCATCTTGGGTTCCTTTGCAAGCTCGTCCTTTCTGCTTGCACTGTTCATAGCGCATACAATGTTGTGCCGAAGCGCACATTGCGCGAGTACCTGCAAATGCATCAAGCGAAAAATGCGAAAGCAAACAAACACACGAACACACCATTCACACGCAAATGCATTCGCACACGCATACTCGTACAAACAGACGGCAGGATGTCGTGCAATGTGCATTTGCACCCAACAACCCCCAGGGTCCGCAGCACCGCAAGGAAGAGCACCCCCAGAGTCGGCAGCTACAACTCCGCTAGCGCCGCCAGCTCCAGAGTCCCCAGCTCCAGCAGCTCCAGTCGTAGTGCTCCCAGAACAACCAGTCCCGGCAGCTCCAGTACCCCCAGCTCCAGCCGAGCCACTAGGACGGCGAAAGCGCCGGACGTACCAGTCACGAAGCTGCTGTGGTGTGAGAGACTGCTCAGCACCCCGAACCGGAGCACCCCCAGACGCAGCAACCCGAGGCTCCGTAGGCTCAGTAGCAGCACCCCCAGGCTCAGTACCCGCAGGCGCAGCACCCCCAGACTCAGCACCCCCAGACTCCGTACACGCAGGCTCAGCACCCCCAGTCGCAGCACCCCCAGGCTCAGCACCCCCAGGCGCCGAACTCTCAGGCACAGTACCCTCAGCTCCAGCACCCGTAGTCCCAGCACCCCCAGGCCCAGCACCCGCAGGCTCAGCACTCCCAGCAGCACCACCTGCAGCAGCACCTGAGTCACCTGTGACCTCGACAGGCTCAGCGACGGGAGGAGGGTCTACCTGAGAGACACCTGAAGGAGCAGGACCCTGAGGGGGAAGGGGGTCTACCGGAGGGGGACCAGGAGCAAGGAAAAGCGGCGGGGGAGGGAGGGGGGCAGTACGGTAGGGGAAGAGACGGTAAAAAGGGACCGACTCGTCAAAGGTGACGTCCTGAGAGGCGAAGACCCGGCGCGAGGTGGGGTGGTAAAACTGCCAGCCCGGCGCGTCAGGGACAAAGCCAAGGAAGACACAGGGAAGCGTGCGGGAGGAGAGCTTGTCCGCGGATGTATCGCGGACAAGGGCACGAGCACCCCACACCCGGAAGCGCGACGCATCGCCAACCTCCCCCGTCCAACGCAGTGTGGGCGAGGTCTCCGGCAAGGAGACACGGGGCCAGAGGTTGAGCTGATGCGCGGCGTACCGGACAGCAAACGGCCACAGAAAATGGGGAGCCGCCGCGTGGACCAAGGAGGTACGAGCGACCTCCATGACCAGGCCAATGCGGCGCTCAGCAACCCCATTCTGCTGTGGGGAGTCCGGAAGCGTGAAGGTCTGCTCGATGCCCTCCGCCTGACAGAAGGTCCTCAAGAGGTCGGAGGAAAACTCACCACCTCTGTCAGAGTGCAGACGCAGGACAGGAAGATCCGTCCGGAAACGGCGGCGGAGCTGGAGACGAACTGTGCGGATCCAAGGGATCAGAACAGCAGGGACCTCACCCTTGGTGCGCAAGGGGAAGACCGTGGTGTAACGCGAGTAGTCGTCGACAACCAGCAAAAAGTACCGCTCACCGCCCTGGCCACGAACGCGGGCTGGGCCCCACACGTCCAGGTGGAGGGTCTGCAGAGGAGCCTCTGTCGGGGGGAACGAGGAGGAGTGAGGAGCGGCGCGCTGCCGCCCCTCGACGCAAGGAAGGCAAGGTGGCGCAGGCGAGGCAGGGAGGGGAGGGAGGGACCTGGGAAGACCAGACACAAGGCAGCGACGGTGCATGCCACGGAGGCGTGGCAAGGAGGGGTGACCCAGGCGGTGGTGCCAGAGAAGAGTCTGGTGCGACAGGGAACGACACTCACAGGCGTGGGCCACCAGACCTGACGCGGACACCTGACCGACAGCAGCGACCTGAGGAGACGCAGTGGTCAGTGTGTAGAGACTCGACCCCGGCCGACGGGTAAACGTAGCCAGGTGACGGCCGGTCCTGGAGCACGTGCAGATCGCCACACGCTGTCCTCCAGGGGTAAAGGTGTCAACCCACTGATCCTGGATGACAGCGTTGCTCACCAGGTTCGTCGAGAACGAGGGGAGGTGGAAACCCGTCAACGAGCCAGACGGAACCGCCGGACAAGGGAGTACAGTGGTGGACTGGGCAAGGACTGGGCCCCCAGAGGGGTCAGCCAAGGAGACTGGGACTGGTGCAGGAAGCGGTGTGAGCTCAGTACTGTCTCGAAAGAAGCAGCGGGAAGCACCTGAGTCAAGGGTGAAGGTGTGACAGGTCTCAGCCGGTGCAGTACCTGAGAGAGCAGTCTCTGTGGGTGCTGTACCTGAGAGAGCAGACTCGCAAGCAGCAGGGACAGTGCTGGAGGGAGCAAGTACAGGGGGCACCATACCAGAGAGAGCAGACTCACTAGTACCTAGGGCAGCGGGCTCTATACCTGGGTCAGGCGGCACACACAAGTAACAGTCTCCCTCGGCACTAACAGTCAATGCATACATGGCAGCAATAATAGCATCATAGTCAAGAGCAAAGATATCAACCCCAGCCCTCATCAGCTCAGCCCAGCGGGGGCGCTCAACATCCTCGCCCATCTCCTCACGCCAAGCGTCGTCAAGGCGGAAGAAGCAGCGGTACTGAGTGTGGAACTTTCCACACGTCTGCCCCTTGCGATCACCTGTGCGAATGACATAGGAACAGCGGCCACTGCCCCCCGACGTCCCACGCTGAGCAAGCCACTCACGAAGCTGCTGGGTCGACTGGGGACGCTGCTGCTGCTGGGAGCTCTGGCCCGAGCCGGTGCCTCCACTCCGACCTCCACCGCCGCCACTACCTCCGCTCCGACCGCCACCACCGCCACCGCCACCGCCACTACCGCCACCGCCGCCACTGCCGCCGCCGCCACCACCGCCACTGCTCCCTCCGCCGCCCCCGCCTCCACCGCCGACCCCACTCCCACCGGCACTCCCGCCACCGCTCCCTCCAGCACCGCCTCCCCCCCCACCTCCCCCACCCCCTCCCCCCCCAGCGCCACCCCCGCCACCCTTGCCCCCCTTGCCCTTGCCGGTGCGGCGCCTCCCACCAGGAGCAGAAGCAGCGCCAGCAGACTCAGCACCAAGGAAGTCAACAGCAGCAGCAGTAGCATAGGAGGGAGCGAGGGGAGAGGGAGAGCACCCCTCAAAGATGGGGGTGCGAGGAGCGCCGCGAGCAGCACCAACAGCTACAATGCTCTTTTCGGCCGCTAGCAGCTGCTCCTCTAGGAGGGCGACTGTGAGCTCAGTGGGACAGCGAGCAAGGAAATAGTCGCGCACTGAGCTGAGGGTGTCAGGGAGACGGGTGACTATGAAGTGGAGTGCCCAGTACAGGGGAGGGGGGTTCTTAGCGCAGAACTCGGTGGGAAGGGCGGCACGCAGGCGAGCATCACTAGTGCGAAGGTGGGTGATAAGATCGGCGACTGTAGCAAAGGTGGACAGGTCAGGGAACAGGTAAGGCAGCATGAGACGGCTAAGCTCGGCTGTGGCAGGTGAGGAGTAGCGAGCAACGACAGCGTCGTATAGGGCTTTAGCGGTTTTGCAGTCGCCAAAGTGCTCTAGCTCAGCTAACGGCAGGTGACTGCGAATAGCCAGGCGAGCTGCAGCGTCACGAGTCTGCCACTGTGAACGGACACTAAGCTCGGCTGTGGCAGCAGGAGCAGCGGCAGCACCAGACGCGTAGTCATAGAGGGAGATGTGGTCCGTGCTATTGCTCATAAGATACAACTGCAGGTCGTCGAGCCAGGAAGTGAACTGCACGGGACGGCCCTCAGCATCGAAGGAAAGAACGCGAATAGAGGCCATAGCTCAGGCGTGAGGGCACAGCAGAGCAGCGGCAGCAGCAGAGGGGACGCGCTAGAGCGAAGCTAGCAGCCACAGCAGGAGCAAGCGGCGGTGCACAGGCAGGGAGCAGCAGGCGAGCGGGCGACGCTGCGAGCGGGCAGCAAGCGGGCGGGCGACGCTGCGAAGCAGGTAGCGGGCGGGCGGGCGGCGCTGCGAGCGGGCAGCGAAGCGGGCGGGCCGCGAAGCGGGCAGCGAGCGGGCGGGCGGGCTGCGAAGTGGGCGGGCCGCGAAGCGGGCAGCGAGCGGGCGGGCGGGCTGCGAAGCGGGCAGCGGGGCGAGCGGGCTGCGAAGCGGGCGGGCCGCGAAGCGGGCAGCGAGCGGGCGGGCGGGCTGCGAAGTGGGCGGGCCGCGAAGCGGGCAGCGAGCGGGCGGGCGGGCTGCGAAGTGGGCGGGCCGCGAAGCGGGCAGCGAGCGGGCGAGCGGGCTGCGAAGCGGGCAGCGGGGCGAGCGGGCTGCGAAGCGGGCGGGCCGCGAAGCGGGCAGCGAGCGGGCGGGCGGGCTGCGAAGTGGGCGGGCCGCGAAGCGGGCAGCGAGCGGGCGGGCGGGCTGCGAAGCGGGCAGCGGGGCGAGCGGGCTGCGAAGCGGGCGGGCCGCGAAGCGGGCAGCGAGCGGGCGGGCGGGCTGCGAAGCGGGCAGCGGGGCGAGCGGGCGACGCTGCGAGAGGCGCGCGAGGGCGCTAGCGAGGGGCGCGCGAGGGCGCTAGCAAGGGGCGCGCGAGGGCGCTAATGAGGGGCGCGCGAGGGCGCTAACGAGGGTGCGCGAGGGCGCTAACGAGGGGCGCGCGAGGGCGCTAACGAGGGGCGCGCGAGGGCGCTAACGAGGGCGCACGAGGGCGCTACGAGGCTAGGGCACGGGGTAGCGTGGTAACCGCATGCGAGCGGTGGTGGGCCCTTAAAAAAAACGGTCGGTAGGTCCTAGGGACCTCCTGCTCTGAATACCATCTCAAAATAACTAGGCAAGAATGAATGAACTAGCAGAAGTTTGGGTACAAATATGAAACCCTAGTTGGGGTTGTACCCCATAATGGCTACCCCACTACAGCCTACAAGCATAATACAGTTTAACAAAAGGAGCGTGGCTCTGAATACCAAGTGTTACGACGGCAAATGAGCAAGCGAGCGAGAACTGCATTAGCCCACGCCACCCAGCTTTGAAGGGGGACGTGTAAGAGTACGACGGCTTATGCTGGCTTTGCTAGCTTGCCTGGACCTTAGCTTAGGTTTCAATTAGCACGCACAGTTATGCTTGATTTCCTAGGTTAGGTGCACTTCTATATTCTACTATAGTTATAGCACCGAGGTAGGTTATGTGTACTGAACTCAAGCCTTTTCAGTTGCCATCGAATTGCTTTTTACTGAGTTCGGGAAGGTTCTGATCAGGACGCTTCGCGACCCTTAGAACATTTGCCAAACAACTGGGTTACCTGCCTTGTGTCGAGACTATATATAGCCTCGTGTTGTACCCATGTGGAGCAATCATTTGAAACCCACCTTTCTGAGCTCGATCCTCGATCCTCACAGAGAGCGCCCGCGGATGCTGCGCTAAGGGACGAATGGGAGACCCGTAGAGGGGGGGGTGCTACGGGACGTAAGAAGGGAGGGGGGGGCGGGGGCCGCGCTACGGGATGAACAGAGGGCCGCGAGGGGCCGCGCTACGGGACGAATGAAGGGCCTGCGGGGCCGCGCTATGGGACGAACAAGGGGCCCGCGGGGACCTTCCGAAGGCATTAATGGGGCAGGGGAGGGAGGTGTGCGTACGAAAGAACTGGCCGTATCGGCCTACGAGGCGCTTACAAGCTACGAGCGACGGGCAGCGGTGGGCCCATAGGAATGAAACTAGCTCTATGCCATATCAACGTGACAACGGAAAAATGAATGACTAAAACGAAGAAGTACAAATAAACATATAGCAACCCTAAAGGGTCTACTGCATAACCCACAGTAACACCTAGACTAGACTAACAAACTATTAGAAGTATAATTTGACAACTCCGTCCTTAATCCTAAGAAGTGGTAACAAAGTTGTTTGAGGACTTTGTGGAGAGTCTACTTAGGTATCAAGACCCTTCTAGACCCACCATGGCCTGTGGGTGTGCTTAAGTGGAGTTCTAGGGGTTGGATGTGACTTTCGCTAACGGGAAACTCTGCCGAAATCTCGTTGGCGCTGACACCAACAATTTTGTGGATCTGCATTGTGAACAGCAAGGGGGGCGCTGAAATTCATCATTTGCGGAGGAAATTTGAATTAGAGAGGGAGAGATATAGTTGAGAAGAGGAGTAGGCCATCACCATCCAAGGCTTTGGATGGCTCCAATTATGAGGAATGGAGCGGGCGGATGAGGAGCGCCTTCAAGCGCTACAAGCTGCTGAAATTGGCTATGGGAGAAAAGAACATGACCGAGGAAGGAGATGCCCGTAAATGGACATTGCACGACATCCTGCCGTCTGTTTGTACGAGTATGCGTGTGCGAATGCATTTGCGTGTGAATGGTGTGTTCGTGTGTTTGTTTGCTTTCGCATTTTTCGCTTGATGCATTTGCAGGTACTCGCGCAATGTGCACTTCGGCACAACATTGTACGCGCTATGAACAGTGCAAGCAGAAAGGACGAGCTCGCAAAGGAACCCAAGATGGAAGCTTTGCTGTTCGGTTGAGTTGATTGCGCAGATTCAGTTCTATCCAACTCGGAATTGTACTGTTTTGTTTGGTTAACTATAGTGTAGCAGGGAAGGCACTATAGGGGTACAATTTAGGTGAAGGTTGGATGTTGTTTGTCTGTATCTGCATGCTACAAGGCCAGGGGAAACCAGCGGAACCAGCATTTGGCTGGTTGGGCAAAGACAAAACAGGTTCTGTTTTTAGAACCTGAACCTGGTTGTTGTTTTCCCAGGTTGGAAAAACAGAACCAGAGGTTGTTTACCAACCTACCACCTGCTATTTTGTCCAGCCAGGTTGGTTCTGTTGCTTGGAATTATTTGGGATCATCCCTGGTTGTTCCCAGGTTGATTCCCAAGGTCCTTGCTAGCTAGAACTATTTAATCCTTCTCTGTTTGTACCTGAATATAGTCAAATTGATTCAAGCGAATTCCTTCCTCGCTGGAATTTCGTTTCTGCGCTATTCGACGGCGAAATGCTACCCGAGTCAACGCTAGTATGCTAGCACTCCAACGCTAGGCAAACGCTGTCCGAGCCATAACTTAGTGATGGCAGAACTTTTCGCGAGGCAACTTGGCTCATTTTAAAGCTCTTGGAGCGAGCTTCGATATAGCAAGTTCTCAGCTTAATCCGACCGACGGTCTGCACGGCACGCTGCGCGACGCTCAAGGTACTCTTGCTGTTTTGACTAAGTCCTTCTTGATCCCTCTCTCTACAAACTCGGACCCGAGGATAGGGGCTGGTCTTGTACCAGGCACCCAGGGACCCTTGGAGGTGACCCCGAGGAGAGGTTTTAAGTTTGATTAAGTCCTAATAGCTTGAGTTTATTAGGCCCTTACACCAACAAGCTGGTATCAGAGCTGCGTTATAGTGATCCTCGTTATAGGTAGCTATGGCGGGCAACACCTCGGCGGGAGCTGGTGAATCTTCAGCCCAAGATCGTAGCGGCAGCCAAGATTCTGGTCTTTCAGCGCCAAGGGGAGCGCGAACAAACCAGGGCTCGCTTGTCAAGGAGGTGCTGAAGAATTTCACCGTCGAGAAGTTCAATGGTGAGGGCTATGATGATTGGGCCTGGAAAATGCAATTATATTTCCGTCAGATCGGTTTGCTGAAACTAATGATTGGGGAGGAGCCTAGACCGAGTGACCCCACGCTGCAGGAAGATTGGGACGAGCGCTCCTCGGCTGGCTACTATTTGATGTCGCAGAGTTTGGAGCTGAACCAGCGTCACCACGTCATGCACCTGCTGCCGGAGGTTGAATGCGGTCCGAAGGCGTGGACCGTGTTGAAGGAGCTGCACGCCCCGACCTCCGTTGTCGCAACGTTGATGCTGGAGAGGGAGCTGTCCGCGTTGCGCCTGAGCGAGGGAGAGCCGGTGCAACCAGTCCTGGACAAGATGCGCGACCTCTACGCGAAGTTGGCGACCGCGGGAATCACCTACCCGGAGCAGACCAAGTGCTTGAAGATGCTCTCGCTGCTGCCAGAATCGTGGCTTCAATTTACTAGCGGATTGAGCCTGCCGCAGAACCAGAGCTTGTGGACGCTCGAGTGGGTGCGGACGAAGATTCTGGAGGAGGACTTCCGTCACCGCCAACTGAGGGGTGGAGACGACGGCAGCAGCGGCTACGGGATGCAAGGGAGCCGACGTGGCAGAGGACGTGGCTTCGGTGGTGCTGGACACGGTGCAAAGAAAGACGACGACTCCAACGACCAACAAGGAGGTACCGGTTGGGGTCGCGGTGCGAAATCTGGACGTGGGGGCAAGTCGGGTGCTGGTGGCAAAATGAAAGGGAGTTGCTGGTATTGTGAGAAGGAAGGGCACCCCTGGTTTTTGTGCTATAAGAAACCCGATGGATGGACCCCCCAGAATCGTCACCAGGATGGCGGCACGCGGAGGAACCAGAAAAACGGCGCCAACATGGTCGCTGATTCGTCCGACAACAACCCGAAGGGCAACGGCGGTGCGGAGAAGAAGAAGGAGCGCACCGCGGGCCAATTCTTCCATGTAGGAGACAAGGGGGAGCAAGGAGACGCCTCTGCCAAAGTTGGAGCAGAGCTGCACCCCCTAGACTATTGGGTGTTGGACACAGGCGCTGCTTGGACGATGACGCCGCGCAAGGACCTGCTGGACGAAGTACGAGCTGCACCGATCAATGAAGTGTGCTCCGCCTCTGGACACATGTTGAAGGTGGCTGGTGCGGGACGAGCTGCGTTTAAGGGAGCGGATGGCAAGCCGGTGGTGCTGCACGACGTTCTCTTCGTCCCCGACCTGAAGGCCAACCTTATCTCCCTCCGTAAGCTTGGCAAG